TAATGATACCAATGAAGAAAGAACACTACTGCTGGAGTTTGGAGCCTTGGGTTCTAGTCACCCTTTGCCACTTATTACTTGTGGACCTTAGGCTTAATAATTTCACTTTTCTTGGCCTGAATTTCCACATCTGTAAAAGGAGGGCAGTGGTCTTAAGCAGGCATTCTTAACCTGTTTTGTGCCATGGACTCCTTTGCAGTCTGGTGAGGCCTATGTTTTTAAATTAGTGCATGAAATAAATATATAGGATTACAAAGGAAACCAATTATACCAAAATATAGTTAGTATGGCATTTTAAAAAAGAAGTTCAGATGGCAGAGTGAAAGCAGTGACTTGCTTGAGCTCTCCCCCAAACCCCTCCAAATATCTGTAAAAAATGACTCCAAACAAATTCTAGAGCAGCAGAACCCACAAAAAGATAGAGTGAAACAAATTTCCAACCCAAGATAAGCTGGATAGTTGATTGGAAAAGTCTATTGCACCAAGCTGGGAAAAGAATAAAGTTCAGTTTGGGCAGGCAGGAAAAGACCAGGCCTCAGCTAACTTGGAGCAGGCCTCAGAGGACTGAATCACTGACAGCTGTAGTGGTTTCCAGACTTCTCAACCCACAGACACCAAAGACAAGTTAGAAGGTCAGTAGGAAAGGTCTGTGACTGCAGTGAGAGAGAAGCCTGGTCCCAGTCCCAGTGCAATCACAGGGCTGCTTTTGGAGCTCTGGGCTGACAGACTGAGGGGGAATAGAGTGGCTGATCAGAGGGGGATTGCAGGAATCTCTTTGCTGGTGCTGAGGCAGGATTCTCTTGCTTTGCCTGTGCTTGGATCTGGGTTGCAGTTCTGGGTGGCAGTCTTGGGGCAAGGAGGAGCAGTGGTGTGGTAAAGTGTGTGGCAGCAGTGAAGAAAGAATCCTCCTCACAGTTCCAAGACAGGAAAGAGTGCCTGTGGTCACTCATAGACCAGAGCACAGGCCAGAAAGGAGTGAACACCTTTCCTTTGATCACATCACCTTGGAAGAACTGAAAATTTACAGATCTCTAGAAGTATCTCTGAAAAGAGCTGCAGAAAACCCCCAGAGGTTGGGACAGTACATTCTCCACATTGGAAGCAGATCTCTACCTTAATAAAGAGTTTATAACTCAAGTAATCGGCTGGGATCATGAGCAAACCTCACAAGAAGTGTCAGACCATAGAATCTTTTTTTGGTAACAAAGAAGATCAAAACATACAACCAGAAGAAGACAACAAAGTCAAAGCTCCTACATCCAAACCTCCAAGAAAAATATGAATCAGTCCCAGGCCTTGGAAGAGCTCAAAGAAGAGTTTGAGAAGCAAATAAGAGAAGTAGAGGAAAAACTGGGAAGACAAATGAGAGTGATGAAAGAAAATCATGAAAAACAAGTAAACAGTTTGCTAAAGGAGACCCCAAAAAATAATGAAGAAAATAGCACCTTAAAAATAGCCTAACCCAAATGGCAAAAGAGGTCCAAAAAGCCAATGAGGAGAAGAATGCCTTAAAAAAGCAGAATTGGCCAAATGGAAAAGGAAGTCCAAAAGCTCACTGAAGAAAGTACTTCCTTAAAAATTAGAATGGAGCAAATGGAAGCTAGTGACTTTATGAGAAATCAAGACATTGTAAAGCAAAATCAAAAGAATGAAAAAGTTGAATACAATGGGAAATATCTCATTGGAAAAATAACTGACCTGGAAAATAGATCCAGGAGAAATAATTTTAAAATTACTGGACTATCTGAAAGCCATGATCAAAAAATGAGCCTAGACATCATCTTTCAAGAAATTATTAAGTAATACTACTGCCCTGATATTTTAGAACCAGAGGGTAAAATAGAAATAGAAAGAATCCACCAATCACTTCCTGAAAGAGATCTCCAAAGGAAAACTCCTAGGAATATTGTAGCCAAATTCCAGAATTCCCAGGTCAAGGAGAAAATATTGCAAGGAGTCAGAAAGAAACAATTCAAGCATTGTGGAAACACAATCAGGATAACACAAGATTTAGCAACTTCTACATTAAGTGACTAGAGGGCTTGGAATATAATATTCCAAAGGGCAAAGCAGATAAGATTACAGCCAAGAATCACCTACCCAGCAAAAATGGATATTCAGTAAAATCAGAAGCAAACACTTCTGAAGAGGGACAGGGTCAAAAGAGAGAATAGAATATATGGGGAGCAGGATACAATAAATAAAAATATAGTTAGTTTTCCACAACATGGCTACTATGGAAGTGTTTCACATGACTGCACATGTATAACCTGTTTCGAGTTGCTTGCCTTTTCAATAAGGGTGGGTAGGGAGGAAGGAAGGGAGAAAAATTGGAACCCAAAGTTTGAAAAACAAATGTTAAAATTTGTTTTCACATGCAACAGGGAAATAAGATATACAGGCAATGCGTTATAGAAATCTAGCCTGTTCTATGGGAAAATAGAAGGGGAGGGGATAAGAGAAGGGAGGAGAGATAGAAGAGAAGGCAGATTAGAGGCAGGGGTATTCAGAATGCACATCATCTTGGGGTGCTAGAGGGATGAGATGGGGAGAAAATTTGGAACTCAAAATCTTGTTGAAGTGAATGTTGAAAACTAAAAATAAATTAATAAATAAATCCAATCTTTACCACCACAAAAAGATCTTCTATAAATATTTTTGTACACATTGGTCCTTTTCCTTTTTCTTTACTATCTTTGGCATACAGACATTGTAGTACTATTACTGGGACAAAATTTCCATCAGAGTTTAATATTTTCATTCAAAAATATTTATCAAAACTTGGAGTTTAAAATGATCATGAAAATAGATCAGTTACCACATATATAAGTATCTACTCAGGACAAGCAAGGATTTATTTGAATAAAGGAAACTGCCTGGTATAAGTGTGGAGAATGCTAACAGACCTGGATTTTATGCTCAGCTGTTTGACCTGTGGCAAGTAGTTTAAACTTTAAGCCTCAGTTTCCTTATCTGTAAAAGGAAGGGAGTCAGTTGACTTGTTCTTGAAGATCCCTACCAAAATGGTGAATGGCCACAGTAAATGGAAAAAATCATAAACTCCTTGAGACCAGGAACCATATATAGGCAGATAAGAAGGAATTTATAAAAGCTGACTTACTTTAATAAGTTAGATTTACCTGTTATACTATTGCCTCTATCTCTTCTAGGCAGAGTGACCACTAGATTTTTTTTGACCCCACAGGTAAGTACTACAAACCACAGAATTTGAATGAAGGGAAGTATCAGTTGAGGAGGATGGACAAAAAGTTAAGACAGAGAGATTATAAGATCACAGAATCATAGATGAAGAGCTATAAAGATCCTTCGAGGTCATCTAGCCCAGCCCTCTCATTTTATAGCTGAAAAATTAAAACCCAGAGACTAAGTGACTAATGCCAAGGTCATACATGTGGTAAGTGTAAGAGGTGTCATTTGAACCCAGATTTCAGAGCCAGTGCTCTTTCTACTCCCAGAACAGAAGCATCAATCGAGAAACACTTAGTAAGCACTTATTGTATACCATGCACTATGTTGGATGCTGAGCATACTGGGACAAACATAAAAGTACCTGCCCTCAAGGAGCTCGCATTCTTTCCAGGGACACAATGTCATTATAGATAAAATAAATAGAAAATAAATTTTAGTGGGAAGGTACTAGAAAGAGGAAAATCATTGTAGGCTTTGTGTGGATCATGGCATTTGAGTTGGGTCTTAAAGGAAACTAAGGGTTCTAAGAGGTATATGTGAGGTGGGAGTACATTCCAGGTATGGTACTTAGTTTAAAGACTAGGGGACAAAGTGAAACACCATGTGTGAAGAACAGCACAAAGACCAGATTGGCTGAACCCCCTTGAAATTTATTTGGAAAGCGATGTATAAAAAGTCAGGAAAAGTAGGTTGGGTTTTATCATCCAAGAGAAATTTCAAGCTAATGCTTAAGGTGATAGGGAGCCATTAAAATGTCTTCAGTAAGGGAAGAATATGGTCATATCTGCACTTTAGGAAAATCACTTTAGTAGCAAGGAATAGGATAGATTGGGGGGGCAGAAATTTAGAGACTCTTATAGTAGGCCAGGTGAGTGGTAATGAAGGCCTCAACTGTAGTGAGTTGAGAGAAGTTCAAGATGTGTTGTGGAGGTAGAAACAGAGGTGAGGTGAGGGTGAAGAGCGTGGGATGACACTAAGGTTGTAAATCTTGGTGATTGGAAGGGGGAGGTGGGGGAGAAGATAATGAATTCTTTTTAAGTGAGCTTGAGAAGCCTGTTGGACATTCCATTTAAAATGTTCAATGGGCATTTGAAGATGAATGACTGGAGCTCAAAAGAAAGAATAGGTGATAGACGGTAGATAGATAGATCTATCTGGAGTTCATTTGCACAGTTAATAATTAAACTCATGGGAACTCATGTGCATACACATACACATACACATACACATACACATACTTACATACACATATATAAAAACCCAGGGCAGAGCCTTGTAATATGCCCACTGTTAGGGGAAATATGGATAATGAACCAGCAAAGGAGACTGAGAATGAGCTTTCACAGAGGTAGGAAGAGAATGAAACATCAGGCTATGGATGAGGAGATTACTCAAAATGAGGAGAGGTGGGTTAAGGTAACAGTCCACCCCATCTTACCATATTATAACTTCCACTTTTAACAACGTATTCATACTAATTAGGTGCTAAGCTTTGTTGTTTCCATACTGTGTGTTAAAGGACTATAAGTACTGTAAGTAACCTTTAAATTCAGTGTCCTTACTCAAAGTACCAGTTACCTACCTAGTTATATCTTTATGTCTGGGAAACTAGAGGACTATTTAAATAAATCTGTATGTTGATGTTTCCTTTTGCAGCTTATATGTTTGATTAATTTAAAGGTCTACTTTTTAAAAAGTACCCTGGAATTCTATCTTGCTTGTTTCTCAGTGAGGGAGAGTTTCTAGTAACAAGAATCATGTTTGTAATGATAATACTCATTGTTTTTCAGAACTGAGCTATGCCTGGATCTTCAATGAATACCCGTCATACCAGGATAACAGACGTTTTGTTTCTCAAGAGACTGGAAACCTATACATTGCCAAAGTGGAAAAATCAGATGTTGGGAATTATACCTGTGTAGTAACCAACACAGTCACAAACCACAAAGTGCTAGGACCTCCTACACCTTTAATACTGAGGAATGATGGTGAGTTATTTGCATGGTTTTATGTACTCATTAACCTGTATGTATGCATACCCTATCAAAAAGGCTACTGCATAAAAGATGACTTATTGATATTTTCATACCAAAATTTCTGATCCTGATATTTTCATACCAAAATTTCTGATCCTAATTTATTTTTGGTGAACAGAATGTTTCCTTTTATGCTATCACTTTATAGTGAATTGAGGAAGTATATGCTCAGTATATTCCATTGAAATTATAGGCATTTGAAGTGCCTAGTACATAAGTGTTCATCATAATAAAAAATACTTTGAACATAGGGAAACATAAATCAGTCAATAAGCAAGCAGTTATTAAAATGGGGCAGCTAGGTGGCAGAGAGGATAGAGCAGCAGGACTGGAGTCAGGAAGACATAAATTAAAATCTGACCTCAGGCACTTACTGGCTGTGTGACCCCGGACAAATCACTGAACTCTATTTGCCTTTGTTTCCTCATCTGAAAAATGAGCTAGAAAAGGAAATGGCAAACCACTCTAGTATCTTTGCCAAGAAAACACCAAATGGAGTCACAAAGAGACAGACGTAACTGAAACAACTGAACAAGAACAAATGTGCCCCCTAAGTGCTAAAAACTGGGAATGCAAAAGCAAAAGTGAAACATTCATTGCTTTCCAGAAGCTTATAGACATCGCGGGCGTGCACATATAAGTATATTCACAATACAAGGCTAGAAACTAGGCCTGTGATTGCATTGGTTTAGGGCAAGGATTGGCAAACTACAGCCTATTAGCCAAAATCTTGCCCACCTCCTATTTATGTGTGGCCCATGAGCTAAGAATAATTTTATATTTAAATACTCATCTCACGGGCTGTAGAAAAGCAGATGGTGGGCTGGTTTGAGCCATTGGCCATAATTGACTGACCCCTGGTATAAAGAACTCAAAGTGACTCCTTCTACTGATGCAGGGCACCAATTTCTCAGCGGTGTAGTCTTACAATTACTGAGAGCATTGAGAGGTTGAATGATTTGTCCAGACTGTATGTATGAAAGGCATAGTTTGAAGAATGGGTCATCCTGGCTTCCACACTGCCTCTATCCTCTAGGCAACACTGACTCTAATATGCCAGATATGTACAAAGTGGATACAAGGTCATTTTGGGGAGAGAGAGGATTTGTACATAAGAGAATAGGGCTGTCCCTGTGGTAGGGTGTGATGCTTGATCTGGGATTTCAAAGAACCAAAAGGCTCTAGTAGGTAGGACCAAGGAGGGAATGCCTTCCAGGCATGGGAGAGCAGGCAAAGGTGTGGCAAAGAGAGATAGAATGCAGTGTGTGAGAAAAAACAAGGCCATTTTGACTGTTCTTGACTTCACTATGGGTTAAAGAGAGTACTGTATAATAGAGCTAGAAAAGGTGCACCAGGGCAAGGTTATGAAAAGCTTTAAATGAGAAACAAAGAGGTTTATAGTTAATCCTAATGATAATAGGGAGCCACTGGAGCTTTTTAAAGAAGAGATGACATAGCTGTGCCTGTGTTTTAGAAATTTCTTCACCTTGAATGCTGAGGGTGTTTGCATTGGAATGGGTAGAGGACTGAAAGACATAGACAAGAATCTTCCCTAATTTTATTCCTGCTGAGAGCATGTCTATGAAGGATGCAGTGGACAGTTGAGCAATTTTTCAGCTAATTAGTTCAATGTAATTTAGCATTAACTTTCCTGAATAAGGTTTCAGAACCAAAATTTTCTGGATGACTGCCCTATTCACAATGCTACAGACACTTGAAAAATGGAATCAGGAGGATTGGAGTAAAAGGTAGTCTGTGGTCAAATGACACTTTCACCAGCCCTTTTAACTGAATTTTCAAGATGATTATGGATGCAATCATAAGGCTTAAGCACAGTAGTAAATGACATAAGTCCATAAGAAGTTTAGCAATAGCTCATCTTTAAACTTGATATTGAGGAAACTAAGCATGTAATAGAAGAATATTTCTTCATGGGGCAGGAGATTGGACTGGGCATCTTTTCAGATACTTTTAATTCAAAGACCTTGTGAATCTGTGAAGACAGCCTTCCTTTGAGGCCTCTTGGTGACAGAATAATCAGCTGCATGGATCACAGATCTGACCAGCTATGACAACTTGCTAACTTCAGAACAGAGATCCTTAGACTAAGAGGTAGGATTGGGGTGTTTATAGAGGAGAAAGCCAAGATGCCATCGTGCAAGAGGGCAAGACGGAACTTTAGAGTTGGGGCTTTGTAGCAAACACAGCAAGTCAAGCAAGACTTCAAACCTATCCAGAGAAAAAAATGTGTATAGAAAATATCCAGATAAATAGAAATATGTATAGAATATTTTATCTATCTATCTATATCTATATCTATCTATCTATACCTATTTGTGTCTAATGGTAGCCATATCTAGGGAGGGGGGGGGGAGGGGGGAGGGGGAAAGGAAGAAATAAGGAAAGAAAAGAAAAGAAATTCACATGATAATTTTGTGTATATTTAAAAGGAATAGCAAGTTGTACATAGTAGATTTGTAGTTTTAGGTGCAATCACCTTTTTTATTATATTATGTTATGGAAAAGCTTGTTTTATTCCATAAATTTAAAAAAAAAGGAAAAGATAGAGCACTAAGGACTAGAATTGTGATTTTGTTGGTATAGAGAACTCCTAGATGAGGAAACTCTTTCTACCAATGCAAGTTAGCTCCTGTTCTGCAACTGAGAGTTTAAGAGAGTTGCCTAGCTCTAGAGCACTGATAGGGTGGGTGACAGGAGACCAGTCACAGAATCTCACTGAACCTCAGTTTCCTTATCTGTAAAATGGTTATTGATGATACCTATACAAACTATTTCATAGGACAGATGTGAGAAAAGTGGTTGTGTAAACTGTATAGTGGCAACCTATAAATGTAGGTCATTAGCATTATCTCCATGGCTTGTTGGAAAGGAAAGTAGTTGGCAATTACAACATTACATCTTTGTAATAATGAAACAAGGTCATACTCTTGGACTTGACATCAACATTTTCTCACTCCTGGCCTAGAGCTGCCTATGCTGAGTGAAGGAACATAATGGTGCACAGTATTTCAGTGTACTTTTAGTGAGGGAGTTGTGGAGAATGGAAGGAAAGAGGATATTTCCTTAACGTGAAAAATGAACAAGAATTCCAAATGACTTTCTCATTAGCGCTGGCACAAAGCCCTTTTAAAGCTAGGGCATCATCACGATTATTGCTTCACACAAGAGAGCATCTCAGCGATTCATTCAGCAGCTGATGGGTCCAGGAAGGGCCCACCATATGAAAGAGAGATTAAACGTATACAGGTTGGCCTTAGAGAGTGGAACAAGGAGCAAGGGGTGGAATTTTCAAACAGGCAAGTTTAACCTTGATGTTAGGGGAAATTTCCCCATGATCAGAAATATCCTAAAATGGAATGAGCTGCCTCCCACATGAGCTAAACCTCAAAGCCTAGATCTGACTCCAGGTGATTATTCACACTGAGGCATTTTTCAACTAGGCTAACAAATTTTGATGACCTGAAAATGCCCATGAGACACAACTATAAGAATGTAATATTCATAAAATATCTTAGTTGAAATAATAGTTGCCATTTATGCAACACTTTAAGGTTTGCCAAACACATTACTCATTTGATCTTCATAACTACCCTGTCATATAGGTACTATTATTATTATCCACATTTTACAGATGAAGAAGTAGCACAGAGAGATTGTGATTTGCCAGTGGTCACATAGTTAGGGAGTGTTTTAGGTAGCATCAAAACTTAAGTCTTCCCGATTCTTAGTCCTGCACTCTGTCCACTGTGCCACCAAGCTGATCCCAAGTGCCCCAGTTGGAAGGTGCTTCCAAAGCCATCTACTACCATCTCTACCTACCCAACAATGCTCTCTATAACATAGGTGGCGTCTAGTCTCTGATTGAAGACCTATAGCATGAGGGAAACCTGGGCCAGACTCTAAATTATTAGGAATTTTGTCCGAAACTCAAGAACTTCTTGGCCCCAAAGCCAAGAAAATCTGGGTTCAAATCCCACTGCTGATACATACTGGCCTTGTGATCCTGGGTAAGTCACAACCTTTCAGTGTCCTATACAACTGTCCAAGACTCTAAGTGACAAAGAGGATACAGATTTACATGATTAGAGGAAATATAAGTCTCCTCATCTATTTCTTCCCTGTGCTAGTGAAATAACAATTCGATTCCCTATTGTTCTCTACACACACCAATTCTTATAATTTTTGGACATGACATGGTGATCATCGTGCTGCCTTATCTGATCTGAAATTTAAAGTCACATGAAACAAAGTTAACATCTTTACCATTTGTGTTTGTTCAATGGATTGGTATTGAGTATATGGTCAAGAGTTACATAGCTTCCTAAACTTTCCAACTTAGATCACACAAAATAAAAAACCACCAAGAACCTAGAGAGTCAAGCACTGAGAAAAGGTATCTATTAGGAGTCTCTTAGCTTAGTAAGCTAAGTAAGTATACCACTTTGCATTAAGGCCAAATGGCTTACCACACTTATTTGTAATGAAATATGGTGTTTATTATACATCTTCAATTTAAATAAGTGCCTTCCAACTCAGCAAAGCCTTGTTGAGTTAAAGAGAAAAGGAGGCAAACTACCAATTTTGTAAGAAGTGGCACACTCCCTTTAGACCTCAAGTATTAATAGACTGTTTCTAAAGATGTGCTCCACTGGCACTTTGTAAGTAATCATTTTAAAATACAGCTTTTCCAAACTCTTCCTCCAAATGCCTTTGCACCAAGACATTTGTTCAGTGGTATTTTCCATTTCAGTGTGTCAGGTCATAGCAGTATAATGAAATATTGACTTTGATGCATCAAGATGCGATTGATGAGAAATGCCACAGCAGGGCATGTGATGTCAAAAAATGGAAGAAAGAAAAATTTAGTGACATGCAAACAGTCAAGTTGCCACATCATCCTCAAGCTGGCAATAGGCCATTCATGGTTTTTT